GAGCCTCGTGAAGAATCTTGTACGAAGGGTAATGTTGCCAAAGATCATGTACGTAACGTGTCTGGAAAGAAGAATGTGTTACAGCAGAAAGTTGGTAAAACGATTGAATTCACTGGTCTTTTTGACGAGTTGTAGCTTGGTCCTATTACTGGAGAGACTCACTAACGATGCCGGCAAAACGCTTTCAATCGCTGGGTATTACCATAACTATTTTAGCAAAGGACTTCGGATAAGGTGCGCCCAACTAAGTTCCCCTGACAACACGACCAAGTTGGGGGTTGAACTTAGGCTGTAGATCAGACGCTGGAGCGTCTTCTGTCAATTGCAGAAAGGACAACAGAAACCATCTCATTTGATTTCATTCTGGCTTGAAATAGCCACTGGCTTCTGCAACATAACACAGAATTGTGTCTTCTTCCTCTTCTCTTTAGTAGAGAAGCACTGGTCCGCTGTTAGAAAACACATTCTCCTTTCTCATTTGTCTGGTCAATACTAGTGGTATGGAGGATACTACCAAAAAAACATTTGACTGGAATTTCAGCCTAGACTGTTCCACAAACATTGAATAAGTGTATCGATGCGTACAGATCCAATGAAGTAGAACAACCTTAACAGGATCACGAAATATACTTTTTAACAGGAGCCACGCCTTTTCAATTAGACTTTTCAATTGAGCTTGTGAACAGTTTCCAGGCTGATGAATTTTATCTTGCAGACGGGCAAGCCTTAACTGGCCAGTTGGGCATTTGTAGACGCACATGCACACATGAAGGCACGCAAACACGTGTTCGCATTTCTTGCCAGCAATTGCATGAAACCAGAACAGAGGGAGCCATGTTTAGGTGGGACATGCAAGGCATCCGACAAGCACGCACACTCTCATGCACACAGCACTGAGGGAGAATGGAGAATGGAATCAACCCAATCTTCAACCACTGGTACCGTGGTACCTATGAGGCTTTCCACTCTGTCTGTTTATTTGATTGTCCCCCACTTTCATATCCATCTATTCATCTATGCCTTTAACCATCCATCGAAGTATGATTGAATATTGCCCCAAATAAGTTATCACAGGTCTCTTGGAATTAGTAGTTGACTATCTATTAACCCACCTGCCTTTGTATATTGTTATTGTCTCCTTCTCGCTTCATCTTCCCATCCTTCTATCAATTATTCTATCTATCCTTTTATATTAAACGAAAACATCTTCATTCCTGTATCATCGTCAAATAGTGGATACTGGCTTCATCTTAGCAACCGAGTGGCCTACAAAAATATAGACAGTAGGCTGGCAATAGTAGTTTATGCAAACGCGATTCTTAAAGTTCACATTTACTTCATCATGTCGCCCTACTCGTTTGTCCTGAGTGCCAGCTAAGTGCCGATTCTACGTGAATTTCTTAACGCCGACTGTGACTAACTGTAGCGGCACTGGCCGTGACCTCGTCGGACATTTTGTAGCAGAGAGACTTCAGCTCGAGACCTGTCGACCTGACCCAAATGCACAAGTGGCGAGAAAACGCCGTCCCCACGACCCACCGCGACCTCTGACCTCCATTTTGGCACAGTTCACCCCCCCGACTGCAGGTCGCTCAGCATCACGGACTTTGTGAAAAGCTGTATTCTCTCGATTTCGCGCCACTACATTGTAGGTGTATGCGTGTGTATGTATGCGTGATCTGCCGTAGGTGACAACCAAGAGGAAGACAGTGGAAAAATCGGGTCTTTAGGAGAACTGCTATGCTCAAATCACCGCATCATCACAAGCCCTGACCAAATCCGGCGGATTGAAGTGCGAGTTTCTGCCAGTT